AAAGATTAATTATACTTAAAAAGTAATAAAGAAAAATGCTTTTTTACTTTTCAAATGAGATTTTTTTAAAACAATTAAAATATATAAAACAAAATACTATTTATGAGATGGATGGAATATTTTCTACTTCATTTTTTTTTGTTATTTTTTTATTTAATAAGAAAGATTATTAAATTTTGTTTAGTATATTTTTTTATTAGATCGATTTAAATAAATTTATTTACGTTAAGTCTAATAAATTCATAAAAATTTATCTTATTATAACATTTCAATAAATTTGAACTTAAATAATTAAAAAATATTTTCTTTTTATCAATTAAGTCAATAATGAATCAAACAAAAGAAGAAGAGGCCAATTCCGTTGAGTTCTTATACTTTCGTACCTGTAATTTAGTTCATCTCGTTATTATATATTAAGATAGACCCAACCCAAAATATGAATCATAAAACAAAATATTTATTTAACCGATCACATAAATACCAGTTGCCAAAACTATTATTCAAAAAGAAATCATTCCGGTAGTATCAGCTATTTATCTCGTTTTCCTCTACATCTTATTAAATGATCAAGCCAAAAATATAAATATTCATAAATAATTACTTTCTTTGTCTTATTTATTTATTTATTTATTTTGGATGTCCCAAAATTATGTCATATATTATTTGAATATCTAAAATTTTTATTTTTTATTTTTTAAAATTATTTTTTACTATTTTTTGAATTTATTGACATTAAAAATTATAAAATTTTAATTATATAAAAAATTAAAATTTAATATTAAATATATTAAATAATTTTTTTAAATTATAAAAAAATTAATATATGATAAATATTTTGAAACTAACGCTATATTTAGATAGATATTAATAAATGAATTGAAAGAAAGAAAAAGAAAAGAAAGGAAAAGAAATGTTTTTAAAGGAAAATAAATGATAAATATATCCATTTTTTAAATAGTTAAAATTAATAAAGGAAATGAATTTTAACAACCATTATTTGGATAAATAATGAAAAATAAAAAAAATAATTCATTATAATATTTTTTTAATTATAACTTTTTTTAATAAACTAACATATAATATACAAATATATCTTTATATTGCCTAACTTATATAAATAAATCTTGTTGAACAAAATTGAGCATGTTTAATTCAATAAGATATATTAGTTAGTTATTGATTTACTTTTAATTTTATATTTAATTTAATTTTTTAATTTATTCTGATAATAATTTGGCTCGTTTTATTATTAAAACATGAAAAATCGTAAATTATTTTTTAATTATGACGTTATATAAAATATTCATAAAAAAAATTATCTTTATCGAAGGTATCAGTTTTATATTCAAACTAGTTTGTTATCCATGCAATGCATGGATTATCTTGCTTTATTAATTTATTTTTAATTATTATTCAATCAAGTATTTTTCAATTGTAATTGAAACTTTTTTTAGGAGATTTAGTTTGTGATGCAGCAAGTTAAAAACCACTTATCATTTAATCGAGTTATTTGTTATCTATTTAATAAGGTAATCATAAAAAATTTATGTGTGTAAAAAAATTTATCTTTATGATTATACATAAGATCATTTCTAATTTTACGTTACTTATCAAATAAATATATTTAAAAAATTATTAGTTATTCAAATTTTTAAAATTTAAAAGAAAGACAAAATCATATATATTTAATTATTTATGCTTGAAATTAATTTATAGTTAAAATATAATGGAAAAAATCCTATAAATTATGGTTAATTATAAGGTTTTTTTAAAAAATCACAAATTATTTTTTAACTTCAATTGTTTTTTGCTTACCGAATAATCTCATACATTTTAAGTATGATAATATTATTTATCATATGAAAAATATAAATGTTATATCAATTAAATCTTAGAAAGTTAGTTAAATAAATTTCATTTAATTAAACTAATTAAAATAAATTAAGAAAATACATATTTTCAAATTCATATTCATGTTTTTCAAAATTCAAGCAAAGAAAAAAAAAACACAAATAGACCATAATTGAATATAATTTTTAACTTTATTATGTAGTCCTGGTCGTTAGTTAGATTACAGGTTGAATTTATGATTTTATGCATAACTTTTTAAGTACGGATTCAAAATCTTATTATATTAAAAAATTATTTAATTTTAAATTTAAAATATATTTAATATTATAAAATTTTAACATTTTAATAATAAATATAAATTAAATAGGTGATTGGAGTCATACTTGCAACAAAATCTAAAATTTAGAAATATTTACAACTGGATAATACCAAATTCATGAACACTTCTTAATTTTTTAAATTTATATATTTTTTTAAAATTATGTTTAAGAAAACATCAAGTGCTTACTAAATGAAATTTGATTTGAAAAAAAAAAAAATGAAATCAAATTTGATTACAAATTATACTTACTTTTTTATAAATAAAAAGAGTGTTATGACTTTGAAGAGGAAGAAGAATAGCAAATTACAAATTTTTACACAAAATTCTAATTGATGCGCTAATTATATTACATACATAAAATATGATTTCAAAAGTCAATTAGTTATTGCTATTTGTAACAATATTTTGATATAAATAGTAGGTTCAAATCAATGTAATCAAACAAACTATTAATGAAAGTGTTTTTGTATATTGTAAGAAAGTTGAATTAAAAGAAAAAAAATTACCTAATTAAGTGAAAAGTCAAATATAAAGAAAAAAAAGTTTATAAATAGTACTTACAAAATAAAAGAAAAAATATTTTTCTGTAACTTTGCACTTTGTAATATATGAAAAAAGAAAGCCAATTGAAAAAAAAAATTACCTAATTAAGTAAAGAGCCAAAAATAAAGAGAAAAAGCTTGTAGACAATACCTATAAAATATAAGAATTTATGTATTTATGTAAGTTTACATCTTCTAATATATAAAAAGAAAAATCAAAGTTAAAGACTATGTACTTTACTATAAATATCTAAAAAATAAATAAATGCTTTTATAACTTCCACTTTTTAATATAAAAAGAAAATGAGGTAACATAAAAATGAAGAACAATGAAAAAAAAATCAAATTGATGTTAAAGAAAGATATTAAATAATCATTTATAAATTATTAAGAAATTAAATTTGATTCTTTTAAATAATAAAATATTATCATGAAATCTATTAAGATAAAATTATATTTGATATTTTTAAAATTTAAGATATATATAAAAAATTAATTTTAAAAAATAAAAAATATATTATTGTCCTGATTAAAAATGGTAGGTGAAGTTTTTAATATTCAACGGTCAAATTTTACAATTATTAATACTATAAATTTAATTGTAAAAGAAACAAAAATATAAACATTCCAAAATATAATATTAATTACAAATCAAGAACAATTGTGTTTTTTCACTCGCTATTTAGTCATTTAGGATTAATCATAAGTTCAGACCCATACATATAACTAATTATTAGAAAACTAAATTTTAAAAATAAAAAGATATATTTAAATGTGTGTTTGACAAATAAAGATGATTTTTTTTTAGTAAAAAGAAAAACTTTGGATAATTTAAAATTTTCAAATAAATATATCTTTAAAATATTTGGATAATCGATAATTTTTTAAATAAATATTTAATCTATAAATAAAAAATAAGAATTAATTTTATTTATTTAAATAAAATCTTACCAAAATAAAAAATAATATTTTTATCATTTTAATTATTTTAAATTTTAGATCGATTTTTCATTTAAATTTTAAAATTTTGGGATAATTAAATAAATTTTGAAATTTATTTTTTGATAAAGAGTCTAAAATTAAAAAATATCTTATATATCATTATAAAAAAAAAATTAGTAATTTTTGAAATGTCAAAAAAAAATTATCCACGTAAACATTCACGTCAATAAACTTTATCTAATAATCATGTATGATGTTTTATATATATATATATATATATATAGATATTAGACTAGAGAAACTTGCCCTCCAAATCCCCTCAAAGATAACCACTCAACACCAGAAAGATTGTTCTTTACCAGTGCTGAACTTCTCCATCCACAACGATTTGAAGGGTGAAAACAATATCGGCCAAAAGATGCTCTACCATACGGATGAACATAGGCCTGTCTATGCACTCTCTCCTATTGAGAACCCATATCTGATTGGTATAACCGATGAATTGGGAGCCAAGATACCAGAAGAGGGCTTCATAAAAAATTCTTAGCTCCTACTTTCAGCAACAATTTATCCCGAGTTGAGAATGAGCAGTGACTTCCAACTTGAACCATTGGAAACAGTACCTCACGATCATCAAGCACTGCCATGCTACCTGTTGTACCTCGAGATATCCAGTTTCCAAGTACCAAATCATCCGCTTCTGCTGCCTGCGACACCTACGTATATAGTCACATGACCTTCTTAGCCACACTGAACTTAGATCTTGTGTACATGTTAATGATTATCTGAAGACTTTGGTTAAGTTTGGATTTCACCGCACTTTTAATGCAAGATAATTAATTTCATCACATTATTAGTTGAATTTAAATATTAATTTTAATAAAATTTATTTCACATAAATTTGTTATTAAATTTTTTTTTAATCGTAATTATAATATTTTTTTTAATCACATTTACAATAATTTATATTATTGATTTCAATCTTATTATCCATCCAAATGAAATTTTAAAAGTTAATGTTGATATCATAAAAGCCATTAAGATTGTGTGTGAATATTAACTTTTCTTTGTAAAAAATATTAGTAAATGCAACATAATTATATTTAAATATTGAGTTAATAAAATTTAAGATATCTTTAAAATTTTTAATAATTTTTATAGCGTTTTTTATAATTTTGGCATACAAAATCAGTAACCTTAAATACATGATCTTGTTCGTAGCTTTCATCTAACTTTAGTAACAATAGGCTTACTTTTTAGTAATTTTTATGAATTTTCAGTGAAATAAGGTTTTATAAAATTTTATTAAATTTAAGAAATTTTATAAGTCCTTTTGGATAATAAAACCCAAACAACCAAACTATGTTATTGGACTGCGAGTCAAGGGCCCAGCCTCTTTCGGCCGTAGGTCAAACGCCCAAGGTATTTTTCTGGATAATGCGAGGATGCAAAGTCAAGCGGATGGTTGCTGCTGCCGCTCTTGCATCCCCAAATGTAATCATCCCTTCTACCTTTGACTCTTTGGTCTTCTTTGCACTCCCCTTTCGTCAGATCCACGTTGCGGCGCCGAGTTTGACCGAGTTCGAAACTCACAAAAACGACGAGCACGCCATGTGATGAGAAAGGAAGAATTTCTACCGGTTTGCGTATCATATTTTGGCTTTCTGCTCTCTCCGTTTTAATTTCCAATTTCAATTTTTTTTTTTGGTGTTTAGCCTCCTTTTATGGAGTACGAAAAAATCTTATTAAAATTTTTTATAAAAATTTTCGATCTAAAAAACATTTTTTATTGTATTAATCTTATCTCCGTTTTTCCTCGTCCCTCAGCCCTTTTGTAATTTGTCAACTATCACAAAAATGATAAAGAAAAAGAAAAGAATGATTTCTGAAGTTAAAAAAAAAAAGAATTACGAAAAAAAAAACTAGGACCTTTTTGCCCCAACTAAACACCATAAGAGAATCTTCGAGTTCTTGCAAAAAGGAGTTTACTTTTACAAGGTGCTTTCATTTTTCTTTTTCATCTTTCTTAACTGTAGTTTGGTTAATCGATTTGATGCATCCGGAAAATTTCTGGTGAGCAGTTTAATTTCTTTTTGTTTATTTATTTATTTTAATAAATTTTCTGTTTATTTTCTTTACTTCTTTCTTACGAGGTCCGTTTGGACCCAACCCAACCCAAATGACCAAATGAAAGTTTTAGGCGGCCCCATTCCGGACAATTAAAGTAATGTGCAGCGTAAAATTCTAGTACGTCTTTATTGTAAAGCCAACTTTTTTATTATTATAAATCTATCTTTTTTTAGAAAGTCTTTATTATTACGCCAATATAATGCCAAATTCCTTTCTAGTAAGTCTTTATTACAAAGCCAATTGGTTTTTATTATAAAGCCATTCTTCTTCTATTCGTGTTCATCTTTTGTTACAATTCCTTCTTTTCTGTATGTTAACAAGTTGTATGGCATTGACGAGAACCAAACGCCTCCCAGGTCGGTTTCCCTTCCTTTTCTTCAGTTACTCCTTGCTTCATGGTTTATTAGTGGTTAACTTGTTTTTTTATTAATGAAATTTTTTATTATTTTGTAATTTTTCCCGAGGGAAGCGTTATTTATTGTCAATTCATCCGGTTACTTGAATGTTATTGTCATGTTTGCGGTGTCATACAATGTCCAATTTGATTTTTACTTTTTTCCACGTCCCGGCGTGTACCGTTATGTATTCCGCCGCGTGAGCGGCCTGTCCGTTACTCCGGCATCGGACACCATTAGAACTCCGGTACACCACTTCGAGAGGGTTCAGCGCGTGCTAGCTTCCGGGTCGGCAGCCCAATCCGCCCCGACCCGACCCGATCGGTTGCCATGTAGTGTTTTTCTTTCTATAAATATAAATTCTGGGGGTATTTCTTTCTTTATGATGAATTTTTTATGTTACTGTTTTTATTGATTTTAATGTTGCTGTTTATGCTTTGGCATAGAAACTTGATGGTGGGAAGCTTTTGAAATTTGATCTGAATCTGATTTACGGTAGGAAATAGACTTGTTTTTGTTATATAGGCATTTTTTTGTTGATCTCACATAAAGAGACATGCTGTGTATCAAGGGTTGGCAACCCAACCCGCCCCGGCAAGTTCCAACCTGACCTGACTTCATAGGGTCGGATTTTTTTTAAAAAATCTGATTTCGGGTCAGGTAAAATTAAGAAAAAAAATCGGGGTTGGGTTTGGTTTTGGAGCAAACCTGACATGATATTATATAAAAATTATTTTTTAATTATTTATTTATATATATTTATATAATTATATATTTAAATATTTATATTTAAAAAATAACGTTTTATATTTAAAAAATAATATCTTATTAATTTCAGGTCGGATCGGATATTATTTATATAATATTGGGGTCGGGTCAGGTTTGGATTTATAGATATAAAGTCAGGTCGGGTTCGGGGCTAACAAAAACCCATCCCGACCCGACCCCTTGCCAACCTAATATGTCTGGGCTTACAAGTTTAAAGGGAATGATTATGTAATCTCATGCTTGGGCATGAATTTGACATAACTTTAAATCAGCTGTGGTGCTGAACTGTGGCCAAGCTAACTCGAATAACCTTCAACATGTTAGTTCATTTGTATGTCTGGTTTGGAGTAGTTCATTTTACACCTAGGGGAAAATAGTGTATGCTAACATCCATTTAACAGCATGGTTGCAGAACTCACCATGTGGTAGATATTAGGCTTTCTGTTCATTCTTGGTCCTTAGCCTGGTTAATCTGTCCGTTATTGGTCCTTAACCACTTTAGGAGATTTCTGCCTATTCATTTGTCAGCTCGCAACTGAGTTAAAACTGCCAAAGAAATGCAAAGTCATAATGCTCATTTGAATTCATCAAGTCATCAAATAAACATCAAATCTGAATGAAACCAAATGATGGGTTTCTTTTTTGGTTTGTTCCTCGTAGGTTCGCATTTTCTGTCATTTCAAGTGTGGCTTTAAACTCTCTTTACCTCTTACATTTTGCTTCCTTTCTGTCTCTGAGCTACTTAAGACATGAAAATATTATTTCAGGAGGAATGGCTGCTATGCTCAACCAAATGGTTGTTCTCTATGGTATTGCTTCTCTCTGCTTTGTTGCTTTTATGTTGCCCACTGTGCTATGTGGAGTTGACTCACAAACAACACCAATTAACTACAAGCCTATTGGGAACTACATCCCACCATGCAGTAAGAAAAGCCAAGAGAATTGTGTGACTCATAGCCCACCAGTCAATAAACACAAAAAACCATGTAACCCTTCGGACCACTGCCGGGGTAGTCAGAGCCAAACAGGAGCAACTGAGAGTAAAGCTCAAGTTTCAGCTGCCCCAAAACAGTTTGGAGTTGATGATCATACTCTCCTTGATGGAGAAACTGAGAATAAAGCTCAAGTTTCAGCTGCCACAAAACAGTTTGGAGTTGACGATCATACTCTCCTTGACTTGGTTTTTGCAATGGCTGTTGGCTGGGCGCTCTTTCTCTTTTGGTGACTTGTCTGTTTTTGTTATGAAATGCTTGCCTATGTTGTTTATTTCAAGATTACTAGACTACGTTGTTTATTTCAAACGGTAACTTTTTATGGTCATGTGTTGAGCTTCGTGTGATGGAGACATTTTGTTTGTGTAGTCAGGTTATATTTTTCTAGTGCTTGGGTTGTTTATTGAACCAATTAGAGAAATAGAATACATTTGTGTTTTGAGTTTGTAAACGGTCGGTATTAATCTCTGTTTATCTGCTTCATGTTTGTCCCTTCGTTTGGTCATCAACTCATAGTCCCTTATGTTTGGTAGGGAGGATAGTCTCTTAATGTTTAGAAGGAGGGAAAGAGGAGGAAAAAAAGGATTTACATTGTGTTTGGTATGAAGAAAAGAGGAAGGAAAGGGTTTGCATCATGTTTGTTAAGAAGGAAAAAAAAAAAAAAAGAAAGAGAATGGAGGGAATTTTTTTTTTTTGTTTTTATTTTTTGTTTGGTTAGAGGGAAATAGTAGGAGGCTAGAAAAATAAATAGAATTGCATTTTTTTTTCTTTCAAATTTATTTTTTTTAAATTGAGAAGAAAACATTCTTTTCACTTAATAATTGTTTTTTTACAATTTTATTCAATATTTTTCTCCTTTTATTTTTCATTTTTCACATTAAACAAAAAAAATAACTTTCTTTTCTCAAAAATTGTCGTTTCCTTCAATTTTGTTTATCATTTTTACTAAACATAATTAAATATGTAAAATTCTGCTCTTCTAATTTAAAACACAGTTCTGTTTGTTTAAAATGTTTCAAAATTGTTTTCATTATGATAAATTTTGTTTTTTTATCTTAAACACAAGGAAATTTTATTTTTAATATTTGGATTGATTTTTATGAATTTTTTTTTTAATAAAACGATCACATTAAAAAAAATACAATTAAAGATTTACGAAAGATTTAAAAATTTTCGTATGTAAAAGAGTTTAAATTTTCAACACTAAAGTTAAACGAATTAGAAAATAGATGATATAAAATCTGTTGGGTCCCACTTTTCCACTTAATTTGTGGAAGTAGCTTGACACATATGACAATGTGCACGTGATGCGGCGATCGACGACGAGCGAAAGAAGTATAATTAAATTAAATTATAATTCGTGCTATGAAATAATAAAAATAAATTATGATTTTCTTTAAAAATATATATTATTGAATAATAAATTAAATAATAAAATAATTATTAACATATTTTAATTTTAGTACTTTTGATTAAATTATTATGCAAAATATGAAAAATATTAAAAAATATGTGAAAAAAATAAATTGAAAAAATATTATTTTTCATAAAACTGTAGTAATAATAATAATAATAAAATATAGCTTGGAAAAAAATTATAAAAAATAAAATAAAACAAATTGCAACAATAATATAATATATTTTGAAAAAAAAGTTATTGAAAAAATAAAAAATTTGATGTGTAACATTATATTTGTAGGTTTAAATTTGTAGAAAATTTTTTTAGTAACAATTAGAATTAAATAGATAATTTTTAAATTAATTTTTTAATATTAAAAATAGATATAATAAGTAATATAAAATTTTGAATTTATTTGAAATATAAATTTAATAATTAGAATTTAAATATATATAATCATTTTGATAATTTTATTATTTAAAAATTTAAGATGCACATTTTTTAAATTTTCAAAATATTACATAAAGTTACTTATATTTTTAATGTCTTATGTAAAATTTTTAAATCAAGATATAAAAGATCGTTAAAAGATTTAGATAAATTTAATTTTTGTAATTTTTAAATATATTTGAAAGATTTTAATAATTAAATAATTTTTTAAATAAAATTATTTGGTAAAAAATTAAAATTATTTATAAAAAACTATATTTCATATTTCATATTTTTAATTTTAAAAAATATATCTTTAAATTATTTTAATTTTCAATTATAATTTGAATAATTTTAATATTTAAATAAATTTAAAATATTTAATTTGTAATTAAATAATTTTTTTAAAAAAATTATTTTTATATGTTATTTAATAAAATTATTTATATAAATATTCATGTGATAAATTTATTTATATATGTTGTTATATAATATATATATATATATATATAATAGATTATGTCACGATTAAAATTATCGCATTTAAATTAGAGCAAAGTATTTGATAAGTTAAGGGGTACTTTTGTAATTCGACGGAAACCATAAATTCATCTTAAACCCTACGTCTCCACATTCTTCATCCCCTGCGCAGAAAAAAATTTCTGGTACTCGTCATTCTATTTTCTTTGTTTGTCTCAGGAAGAGCATGGCAAAGCGTTTGATTCCATCATTTAATCGCATTTTAGTTGAGAAAATAATCCCTCCTTCTAAAACCAACTCGGGAATCTTGCTTCCTGAGAAGACCGCCAAGGTTATAATCTTTCATTTTTACTGTCTTTTGTTTTTGTTTCGTTTTATTTTGTTTCTAACCTTTTTTTTTTCTTTTGGTTTTGATTGTTTCAGTTGAACTCTGGAAAAGTGGTGGCAGTGGGACCAGGAGCACGGGACAGAGATGGGAATCTTATCCCTGTGAATCTAAAGGAAGGAGACACAGTTCTTTTGCCTGAATATGGAGGCACCCAAGTCAAGCTTGGTGAAAAAGAGTTAGTCTGTTTTACTTCTATCTGTTATTTCATTTTTTCTTAGTTTTCAGTAACTTTCATGGACAGCAAAAGGGTTCACCCAATTTTGATTGATCTAATTGAATTAATTAGGGTTATTGTCATTTGTGTGAAGCTTATATAAGGTCGATTTTGTTTGCTGTAGCATATTTTAAGGTACATTTGGAGGAATAAAAGTTAGCTTAGTGTAGAATATAAGACAATTGCTATTCAAGTGGGACAAAGTAATTGTTGAAATTGCTTTACCTCTTATTGACTTTGCATTGTTGCCACTGTAAAATTGCAATCTTCCATGCTTACACAGTTATGTGCCTACTGCAATGGCAAAGATTTTTCTAATTTTTGGTGCAATTCGTGTGATTTATACCCCTATCCTTGTTTACTTATCTCCTTAGGAAGTGTTTTTGCATTATCTAGTTGAAGGTTATGGATCTACATTAAAATGTTGTGCATATGGTAAGAATGAAAAGCCAATTTGTAAGGGGAAAAAAATTAAGATAGAGGTTCTGGATTCTGGATGTTTGGGATTCTTGATGTATTTAGGTTTTTTTGCCTTGTGAACTTTTGATTGGTGTTGTGGTTTATAGTGTTAACTCAAACTTGTGATTCCTGAATCCGTTGAAGTGTCATAAGTTGGTGTATTCATTTCTGATATCTTGATGTTGAAAGTGAGAGCAAAACATAGGTTTTTTCTTTTCTTTTTGTTTTTTTGCTGTTGGCAAATTTTGGTTTGACAATGAAGGAAGCAGATATCAACTAAAAAAAGTAATTGACAGATATTGGTTTAGAAATATCGATTTTGTATCATCATTTGCCCTTATTTTACTAATGTGCTGCATGGCATCAGCGATTATATCTATGTTAAATCTTATCAATCTGAAGCAGGTCTTTTAGATTATAGCTATACCCTTCATTGGTATCAGTCATTTCCGGGGTTAACATATTTTCATCTTTACCTACTGTTTCAGGTATCACCTATACAGAGATGATGATATCTTGGGAACACTTCATGACTGATTTGATGAAACAGCGCCATTTTGGAGAATTGGATTCTCATTCAAATGTGGAACAAGTGTTTGTCTTAGAATTGTGACTGTTTTAGTGGTTTTATCCATGTTAGAACTTTCATTGTTTTGGCATTTTGGATAAGGAATCTTTTCATGAACCGAATTTTCTCATATGAAAAATGTTGCTAAAATCTTCCATCAATCATATATTTTTCCTCCACTCCTCAGGTCGGTGCTATTTGAAGTTTTTTATGGGCATTGTCAAATGAAGAAAATGGGAAGTTCACAATACACAAACCTGTATAATGAGAAATGTGCATTAAAATAAAGACAGCAATAGAAATAAGTATTCTGTTTAAGTAGACAACAAGAATGGTTTTGATTATAAGCTTGTATCGAAACAGGTACTTCAACTTCTCCATGAAGGAGAAAGAAAAAACAAACAGAATAACCAAAAAATAAGCATACATGAGGGGTACTAGCCATGAAGGGAATATCCTTCAGCAGTTTCACTAGTTTAAGAACTTCTGAGCCGCATCGAAACTCAACTGGTACACCTGCAAAATGATTGAAATTTAAAATTTCATTCAATCAAATCCCAGAAATTGGAAATTGATGATAAAGATATGCAATGGTTCTAGGGCAACCAAAATAGACATACAAGTTTCTTGTGAACGTTTTGAAAAGCCTGGCAAAATTTGTCTACCTCTGCAGCACCCACCTATATCAGGCAAAAAGTTCCCACTATTAACATTTTTAAAATACTTCCAACAGAAAGATTGTCAAGAAATATTAAATATAGAAATTGTATCAATGATAAAATGAAAACTTATGATGACATCAGTAATTTACTATCATAACTCAAAAAGAGTATTCCATAAGAACCTCAAAAGCAAAAAGAAGTGAAACCATGAGTTGCAGGCAAGGATCACATAGGTTTCCTTTTATGGTTGATTTGACATGAAATTGCAACACAAATAACTGTTGGCCATTGCAGAGACAAGGTTTCATTCAAATTATTGCTATGAATTATGAACAGTTGGATAATAAAGGTTCTACGTCATACCCGATGCTCACTATAATAAACAATATAAAGCATCAAAGACAAATTGAAAACAATTACTAAGATCTAATACTTCAAAATTTGTTTATCTGCTTTGAAGGAGAATACTATCCCGTAAAATTAAAAAAGAAAAAAATCAAAGGCACAGGTCACTATTGCCCCATTACAACAGCTGATATGCTGGAGCTCTTGGTGTGTGTCATTGAAGACCATATATGCTTCCACCCTTGTTTATCATTAAACCACATAAACAATTAAAAGTTTTGTAAGGACAAAGTATTCACTCTATATCATCAACAAAGGATCTATGTTGCCCCAAGAATCGAAAAAAAATAGGTACAGGTCAATGTTGCCCATGACAACAGCCCATAGCTGGATCTCTTGCTGCAGTGTGATCAAAGACAATAAATGGTGCTTTCCACCCTCAGTATTGTTAAAGCTCATAACCACCTAACTTTTAAATCGCAAGGATTCAATCTTTATCATCACAAAGAGGTTTGAAAATTTTCAACTGTAACTAATAGAAAAGATCTTCATAGATAGCATAACAGTACAAAGGTTAACAGAGCAAAAGAGATGTCAGAATAATGGTTGAAGGAATGTAAAGGCCCATCAAGAATCACATTATTGGTGTTGCAGAAGCAACCTCACTACAACTGCTTACTGTAAATTTCATAAACTTCATTGAAGTTTCAGGGAACCATACAAGGAATGGTGATCGAAATTAGATACTGAGGGAAGACTTCGGGACCATGGGAAGACCACTAAGTCCAAAGAAAAATCAGATGGCAGGAAACATCTACAATAGTTATCAATCTCATCTTTTAGTTACATTTTGCTAAAAACATTTCGTTTTACATTTTTTCCTGAAAAAAAAAAAAACCCTGTTGGGTTACCACCTTTTCTTTAAGAAAAAAAAGAAAGAATCAGTTAGTACAAAAAGTATAAAGGTTATTTTCATTGTAAGAAAAAAAAAAATTTGATTCTAAAAGCATCTAGCCTATCAAAGATCCACACTAAATCATTCAAGTTATCAGTATTAATTTTATAGTCCAGTAGCAAGTAATTTCATCAGTCGCCACAAATACTTCTATATCATATGGCAACAAATGCCCATTCAAAAGAGAATAGATTTAATAAAAACCTACACCATTTGGAATATTGTAACCATTTAATTAACTTGAGGTCATTAGATTTCAACAATACCTTCCTCTCAGCAATCAACTTTAGCTTCTGCCAGAACTTATCTGCCAAAACAAATACATGCAGGTAAAATAAATAAAAGTTGTAAGACTATATTTTCAAAGAAAAAACAAGTGATTCTCAGTATTTTCCCAAGGTTTGACCAAAAAAAAAAACAAGAAAAGGATCAATTCACTGGATCAAGACTTTCATCCAAACAAATTCACAACAGAAACATTAACTATTTTCTTTAGCATGGAGATATATGACTGTAAACAAAGAGATATTTTATTCTATGGACTGTGTTTGATAAATTACCATGCAGTTCAGTTTCTTGATTTTCCATTCCGTTTCTTTCACCATCACTCCATGCATCTTGCCAATCAGTAAGCTACTAAGCAAATGACAAACATGACAAGCCAGCACATAACAGATACAATTCAACAGAATATTACAAACATTGATCAATTACAGAAAAATGAGTAGGGGGAATGAATCAGTTTCAGTAAATACCGCCTTATTTGATGCTGAATGAGAAGTTGATTGTCTCGATGAATCTAACTCAGCCTGAAGTTATAAACGATAATTTCAGACCAGAACGAATCTAAAATCTTTATATCAGAATGAATGTCAAAATTATTGCAGGAACATTTCGCAAATGTAACCAAAATCAGGTATTAATCTCAGAGACAACGAAACATTTTAACAGCTCTATTTGATAAAATATTTTTTCTCGAGTCCCAAAAAAACCCTTTTTTTTGTGCTAAAAAAACCCATATTTAGCTCTTGTATTACTCTCTCTTCAACACACAAAAAGAAGGAAAGAAAATAGCTTTAGCATTACTCCACAGAGACTATCAACCAAATCAAAGAAAAGTCTAAATCAATAAAAACAAAGATTTAGATATACTAAAACATAAGAATACAGCACTAAAACAAAAGAAGGATCTTTCAAAACGTTTTACGACGTGAAACTAAAGAAATTCACAAAAAGCTTAAATGGGTATTCCAGATAAATGACCCGTTTCCGGGAAAACAAAGAATCAAACCGAACCAAAATATCGATGCCGGTGAGCGAATTAAATCGAAACAAAGAGAGTTTAACGAATAGATAAATTGACAAACAAATAAACAAGTAAATAGGCAGAATTGAAACATGATGTAGGAATAAGAATGAGTCATTGTTTTTTACATGGTAGTCACGAGGTCGAACAACAGGGAAGAGATCGAGTAGGTGTCGGAATTCTTGTTCATCCATTTCTGTTCGCTGCTTGAGACTGTCGTTCTGAGTTAAGTATGTAGTCTTCTACCATAACCAAATTGGCCGGAAATAATATGAAAAATTATTTGATGCCATATATGTATATGTATTTTTTAAAATTATTATTTTTTTTTTAAATATATATTAAGAAATATATATTATTATTTTAATTTTGTTTGTAAAATAAAAAATTTTATTATTAATATATTTAATAATTTTTTAAATAATATAATACTGATTTTTTTTTTTGGGTGTTAAATATAATTTTTTGTTACTAGTAGTGTTTTTACATTAGAATTTAGAAATACAAAGCAGAGTATTTCGTCTATAATTATCCAGTAATTCGTTTTTTCAATGGTAAAAAATTTTTACATTTTATTCTGATTTAAATAAATTTATTTACATCGAATTTTAAAAATTAATAAAAAATTACATTTTCATGACCTCTGAATCAATTCGTTAAATATAGAATAAGTTACTTACAAATGAAAATAAATACTTAAAAAATTGAAATTATTACCAAAGAAAAAAAGACCTCTTACAGTCAGAAGATTTTATAAATTTTATTCAATTTTGAAGTGAATATCAGTATAAGTTTGAACATTGAGATACAAGTTCTTGTAAACTGAATGCTTCCGCTATTTACAGCTAAAATTTATTTCATATTTAGAGCAATTAGCTTTCATGATTTTATAATTTTATTTGCAGTAATAGTTGTTTTCATAAAATTTCTAAATCATTACTGAGAAACATATATCATGGAATTTAAGCCTTGAAACCTTTTACATTGGAATGAAAGTTTTTGAATAAACACAAGTTCATATAATTTCCACAGGAGATGAATATGAAATTTGCAAATTTTGAGCATTTTCTTACCCTCTTAATACTTATAAGAGGGAACAAAGGACAAACATAAAAGGGGAGAATGAAAGATTTCATATGCATAACAACCAACACTTGTTTGTGAACAAATTATGCAAGCAAATCATGAGTCTCCCAATATTTCTCAAGCAGCTGTGTAGATGTGCTATCTGCATACTCGAGGGTTTGAAACTGAAAGAGCTTACAATTCTATCAGCCTTAGAGATCGAAAACTGGCATTGCCCAAGGGGGGTGAACCTACTTTTAGATTAGATGTTTCATTCAACGGCGCTTCCTCCCACCACCAGCGCCGCCTTTCTTCTTTCCACGGTTCTTTTTACCACTACCCTTTTTCTTTTGCCCTTTATTGACCACATGTCCATCAAAGTCGTTATCTTTAGCAGGAGCCTTCTGAAACAAATGTTTCACATCAAGCACGCCATTTTTAAAATGACCTTCACTTGACTTCAGAACCCTGTCCTCAGGCCTCCGCTTGTCAGCTGATCTTTTAGCACCACCACCAAGCTTTCCTCCAAATCGACCAAGAATCATATTCTAAAGTACAAAAAGGAGAACAAGGGAAAAAAGGTTAATGAACTGCAAAAGGTTTTGTAGCAGCTAAACGAATTATGATCAGAAGGCGATGAAAGTAAATCACCTCTTTTAGCATTTTCTCTTCTCTTTCCTTCTGTTTCTTCATGACCACCCTAGCTACACTCAAGGGTAGTCTCTGCTTTTTTGGTGGCTGCATCCAGGCAACCAAAACTTAATGTTAAATAAAATCTAAAATCTTGATCGCTTTGCAGTCTTCAGAGCTTTAATCTGTTCACATACAAAAGTTCTTACCTTTCCACCCAAAGAAACCACCTTCCTATTCTCCATCTCTTTCCTCTCCTTCCATGTCATATGTGAGGATCCTAAAATGGCAAAAAATAAATAAATAAAAGACAACAAAACCAATGTATCACTACATTGCCAATGATAATACATGATTGGAAGGGAGAGAGGAAAGTTTTTTAAATAAAATTATGATCATATCACAAGAAGCTATGCGTATTTGACCTCAAATTAATTCGAGACATACATGTTACAAGTTCAAAATATTTCCAGGCAGCGGATAAAAACCCTAAACATTTAAACTACTTCAAAAATAGTCCAAGAACTCAAAGCTTTTTGCCAAAATTTGAGGCATAAGAACACAAACTCGAAATCTCACCAACAAAAACCTGTTTAGCCACAGGTTTGACATACCAAAACAAAGTAGTTAGAAGCATAAAATCCATTTACCATATCATCATCAAGCAAAAGAAAGCTTCAATTACCCAAAAAAATGTATTTTCCACCATTATTGAAGCAAAGTATGAGCACAAACAGTGGCATTTTTCATTTTTCTTTCACATTAGAAAGCATGGAAAACTTTTCTGCGAAAGCATAACATTTTAAGGCAGATCTTTAGAAACAAAATCTACCCAATTCAAACAAATCAGAGAGAACTTATAAGAACCCTAACATCAACAACAAAATATATAAAGAATAAAACTTAATGCTAATATCAAATATAGTTTAAATTAAACATGGTGCTCAATCAGATTAAAATATTAACTAAAGCCCACACTCTAAAATTGACGGTTGCTTGGATTACCCAACATAAATCATGAAACTAAGAACAAAATAAATAAATAAATAAATAATGGAAAAGATAAAAAATAAAGAAATAGATACCCAGAAACTCAATATCTTTCATAATATTCCTTATGCTGAATCGGTGTTCTTTGGCGGCGTCCATCTGACTTCTCTGATTTTGCTTCTTCTTCGACATTTTTAGCACTGGAAAAAGAAACACCTAAAAGAATTTGTACAACTGAACAGGAAAAAATCTGGGAAGGTAACGGTGAGTTGGGTTTCAGAGAGAGACTCACGAAAATTGGATATATAAGAAGGGAGAATAAGTTGGGCTGGGTCTAATAGATTTTTCCGCTAATTGGCCCATTCAAAAGCTGGGCTATTTGTAAAAACATTTGGAACGTAGTAAATGGATTTTTTTTATTTATTTTAAAAAATCTTTTCAGTTTATATAGTATTTTAAATTTTTAATTAAAAAATAATTAATTTATATATTCTCTATAAATTTTTTATAATTGTTTACATGTAACAAGTGTTTATTAACGTAAGTCCCTGCTTGAATTTGACTGCATTTCTGATGCAATACAATTAAGTTCATCTTACTTTCAGATGAATTCAAATGTTAACGAGATAAAATCAACATAAATTTTTTATTAAATTTTTTTAATTATAATTATAATAAATTTTATTATTATTTTTAATTTCACTGCAATGAATCTTATCACTCATTCAAATAGAGTTCAAATCTATTACTTGCTAAAAAAAAACCATTCTCTTATTAGAAAAAGATTAAATCCTAATAAAATGTAATTATTTTATTATATATACCTTTCAAAAAAAAAAAATCTTACAATTTTAAGAATTTTTGGTAATGCAAAATACTCTTTCAGGTTTTCCTTTGGATCAATAAAAGATTTTTTAAATGTGAAATGCAAAAGTTTTAGTATGCCTAAGAAAATTAAAATTTAGAAATTGTAAATTGAAATTCAATTCCCATTCAATAGTGACACTAAATATATAACTCTTATACTAAAAGTTAATTATTTCCCAAAATGTTTACAACTTATTTACTTAAAAAAATTTTACACTAAAAGTTAATATATAACATATGGATCGATACGAAAAATATTTTTATATATAACATGTTAAAAATTACAAAAAATAATTAAAAAAAAGATTTCTGAGATTAATATCTATTAAATGTTACTTATTTAAAAAAAAATTACATGGAGTTAACTAAACCTCGAATTTAAAATAAAAAAATATTTCCTACGTCTAACTACAACTTCTGGCCCATTCATGCAAAACAATAAATTAATAAATTATTTTTATTTTACAATACCAATTACCAAATGTATTCCTCAAATACTCGTACAGTCACAAGTCACAAGTAAAATCATAAGAATAAGGAGGTTAATTTTATTTTATAAAGGAGAAAAAGAATATAGAAAAGAAAAAAAAACAAATTCAAAATATGCAAACAATTCCGAACAATATTAAAAAGCCATTCAATTTCCTGTCCAAGAAATTGAAAAGTAAAGAAAGGGATCCAGAATCCTCGTTCTTATCACTTTCCTCTTCAATGGGATGGTTGAAGTTTGAAGGCACAATGGTATCCGGAGCAGAATCATCACTTCCAAAATCAGGACTATTGGGAGCTGGGGCATCATCCGATGGCTCTTCTAGGCTCTTGGGCAATCCTTGGCCATGAGTCACGTTTATTTTGAAATGCTGCCCATTTTTGCATTGCTCACCATCATAATCACTAGAGAAGAAATAGTTCATCCCTTCCTTCATTAGAGGGACTGCTACTGATACTGGATGAGGCGCCGTGGCCGATGGATCGGCCGCCGACCATTCCGTGGTATCGTTTTGAAGAGCATCCTCATAATCACAGAGATTGTATATGGTGAAATTGTATGTTTGCACTATTGAATGATTATTATCCGTATTAAAGACTGCATTAACGAAATGAACACAAAGTCAGTTTGAGCAACCTATATATCTTAGATTTTGCATTAAAAAAATAGTGACTAGACCTAGAAATTCTTTTGAACAAAGTAAATCAAATAATTTCAGTAATACTAAAGTCAGTTTTACGGTTGAAGATCTCAAGTTTGAATCTCCGATTATAACCCAAAAGACAGAAAAAAAAAAAATCAAATGATGCATTTTAATTTCAAAGCTATACCCTAATAAGTTTTGACATATAAAATAAAACCAGCTTTAATTTGGCTAAAATATTCTGTAACACAGTATCATTTATAAAATAAGAGAGAATAGCCAGAAAATTCTTCAAAGTGCAACCTTATTTTATCTATACTTTTAACTATTCCTTCACCGACAAAACAATCATCTTCTGCCAGCTTGGGTGTTCAAATTTTGATGCATGTGTCCAAGAACCCAATGCCCTTAACTTTGAAGTATATCAGTTAGCAAAAATTCTTATAATAGAATAGCACATGGCAAACTTCTTACAACACAATCCGTCTTTTTATCACTTTAAAACTTCCAATTATTGAATACAATCAAATCATGGAAGATTGGGAGGAAAATATTTATCCAGAGATACTCAAAAAAAGGGTTGGTTGAACTTATACTTAATTATTGAGTAGTTTTTCTTTTTCTAAACTGATGGAAGGGTGAATTAGGTTGTGAAGACCCAAGAAAAAAAGGCAAAAGAACAGAAAGGAAATCTATAGCTGAGATGAGGTATAAGTGGAGCAAATCTAAGCAGAAGCTAAAGGGTAGAGATCGATTCTAGAAGGCAATAAGGGATCACCATTATTTGGATAAGTTCATTGATTTCCTCTGTTACAGTTTTACAAAAGGTATTCAGATATTGTTGCAGCTATAAATTAAAAAATAAAAATAAAAAACAGATTCTCGTGGGAGTTCAAATATTTTTAGAATACTGCACAAGACAACAGATCAGGTAACTGAGTTTTTTTTAACAGATCTCCAAACTTTTTGAAACTCCTTACATGGGTTGACCTGGTTTCTTCTGTTAATGGAAATTTACTAAAAATCCACTGATTTTTGTCATGATTCAAAGAGGATATTGCTCATAATTCACAAATGACCAAAAGAGTAAAAGAAAAAGAAAACAGTAAAGTATATTAAGACTTCTTACCGAGGAAATCTCCCAAGCTGAAGTTTTTGGTATCTGCCCATTTCTGGTAGTTTACACTAGGCTTTTCAAGGGTGTCATACCAGCCCAAGGAGTCACCAACTGTGTAGTTCTTGTAAGCTGTAACAGATCCTGAAAAGGAGAGAAGCAGAAGACAAGAAATGGAGAAAATTTGCAGCAGAACTGAAGTACCGTACCCTCTGTGTTCCATCATTCTTGGTTTCAGTGATGTTTCGGTGGTCAGGAGAGAAGCCTGGGACTTTACCTCTTCTTGTTGGAGAGTACTAAAAACAATGGAGTAGCCACTTTATAATTTATTTATGTAGCCTTGCCTTTGCATGGAATTACACAAATGGTCTATCTTTTCTGATGGTCCCAGAACCTTTAAAATTGTTTGCCAGATCCATATGGAGTAAATTTTTTTTTCTTAAACAGCTGAGTAAATGATAAGAAAGGAATAATAGTCCCCTTAACCTAATCAAGTTATTATCCACCCAAAACCTGAAGAATTAACTCATCATTGAAAGACTGACTTGAAACTGGACTGTTTGGAATCATATTGTATTGCATTTTTCAGGATTTTTAATAGCAGAGTTGAAGAAAGATAGCCAATGACTATTTGACCATCTAGTTAAAGACATATTATGTAACTCTATTGTAAATAAAAAAAATGTTGCTCCCAGTTTTTAGGTTTTTTAGTGTTTTGAGACTATCTGAATTTAAATTATAATTATTAAAATTAAAAGTTCAACTCTCGTGTGTACTGACTTGTAAGTGGATTTTAATTATGTATTTTACCTACTAAACCTCAAGAATCGATGGTTTTTTTTTTTAATTTAATCATTGTCCCATAAACAATAGATTATATCAAAAGAAAAAAAAAAGTTATTTTAAATGCATCCATGAAAGTAACTTTCAAGTTTCTTCCTTGAAAATGGGATGGGATGGAGACTTTTATAAATGCTATCACAATGTATGAGCACATGAACAATGACAGAGACAGGCATATCATCTGGCATGAAACCATTACATCTTCTATGCTGTGGACATTGACATTAAAAATTTACACCCTCCATTTCCATTTCCAACTTCTACAGCATATGATCATAATTTAATATTATCATCTAAATGCAACCACACATTAATTTCATTAGTTAAAAGACTACAAATCTCCATTCGAATGACTAACAAAAAGAGATTTTTAGAGCATCATCACAGTCATTTATTTATTTATAACCCATTCAAATTTAGTGTAACAGTTGCCTAGCATTTACTTGTTTACTTTTGTAGGTTAAGTTGAGAGGAAGAAACCTCAAAGATATTAATTATTTATCTTATATAGTAATTCAGAAGTCATCTAACATTTTGGTTTTTGTTATTTTTTTCTTACAAAGGACAGAAATAAAAAAGATTGGATTTGAAAGTAGACAAGTTAGGTGGTTTGCCGATAGGAAAAAAGGCTGGCATACCTCTGGCAAACGAAAGAATGTCAAACCACCAAGACACGAGATAACTTCATTGAACATACCTACTTTCCCCATGTAAATTGATGGTTACCAAATAATTACTACAATATCTTAATAATTCATAGTTTTTCTGTAAAAGTTTGTTGGGATTAATGCCCCTAAAATTAATATATATATACTAGAAACAGGGACGGATTTAAATTGGGGGCAGTGAGGGAAACTGCCTCACTGAAATCCTAAAATTCTTTTTAAATATATTATGATAATAGACAAAAATCTTAACATTTTTACATTTTGCCCCCACTAAATTTAAAAAGAAAAAAAATAAAGGGGGAGAGATTTAAAAATATTATAAAATATAAATATACTTTAGTAAAAAAATGGATTCATTTTAAAATAAACTATTATATATAAATACTAATAAATTTAACTTATAAATAATTATTTCACGTAAGTCTTGCTCTTGCTAATTTAAGTCACAACCCAATATTATTTTTTTTTTTTGTCCCTGTTTATCTATTCTCCTCTTTTTTCATTTGTAGACTTTATTTTTTTATTTATGTGAAATATCATTATATTATTATAAAATTGTCAAAGTCAAGTATAAAATAATAAAATATTTGTATAAAGGAAAAAAAACATAAATTAAAGTTAAATTAATTTTGTATAGTAAAATATAGATAACAGGTAAAATGAAATTATGACAAAATACTTATGATATAAAAATTTATTTTTAACATATCAACGTACTTTCCTCTCTTGTTATTTTTCTTTTATATTGATAATGTGATAAGGTATTTTTTTAATATTATTTAGAATTTTTAATAATATATATTTGATGTAAGATAATTTTGTAGAGATGTAACCTTACAAATTTATAGAAATGTAATCCAACAAAATCTAAAATTTAGAAAAAAAAATAGCGTCAATTTTAAAATTATTAAAAAAGTTAAAATATATATAAAAGTAGCATTTTTTTGTCCTATTTTGTATTTTCATATCTTATCTTATATCTTATAAACTATAGAGAAATTAAATTAGTATTTGATTAAAGTTAATCAAAGATAAATATCATTAGTAAGAGAAATTGAATTTCAAAGGAAATATCCGACATTGAATAAAGTTATATATCTTTTAATATTAATAATGAGAAAAAAATCCTACATTTGATACCTATGAAAACTATTTAACTCAATTATATAATACTATTTTCATTTGAAAAATGACAATATTATGTATTTGTATTTATTTGATATTTAAAATTTTGATGTATTTAATATTATAAGTTTTTGTTATATTTGTGTTAATTTCTATTTAAACTTTATATATTTGATATTGTAAGAAATATCTCAAATTCTTTTATTAAAAATCTATTTTACATTTAGAAAACATTACCTCTACATTAAATAAAAAATTTTATGTAAATATATTATATAATAAATTTGCCCCCACTAAAGAAAAATCCTAAATCCGTCCCTCACTAAAAAATTTGTCCGGCTATGATCAAGATTAATTTTTTTTATTTTAAAACAATATAAATTATTTGAATTTAAGTGTATATATTTTCTTATTTATGTTTGAAAATATAAAAAATTATAAATTACAATATTTTTAAAATTTTTATTTTAGGAGTCTTTTTTTGTAAATAAATATTTGTAACTATTTAATTTAATTTAGTAAAAAAGAGTAAATTGATATATTTTAGTATGGTTTTCTAAAAACTATTTTTTTATTGAGTTCTTGATTTTTTGTATTAAAAAAAAAACCAAACACTAAAAAAAATAAAAAGAGGGGAGGCTAATTGAATGAAAAATATCATTTAATAATGCTAAAGATGTCAATTTTACATATACTTAATGAGAAATTCGATTTTTTACTTAAATAGGGATGGTAATAAATATTATATTGTAAGTATAAAAATGAGGATGGACATGATCTTAAATTTTTATTGAGTACGAGGATGAAGATGAATAATATAGCAACCGTCTTATACTCATATCCTACATATATATATTTATATATTTAGTAAATAGATTTTTTATTAAATAATATAAATTTATTATTTTAGATTAATTAAAATTAATATGTTTTTATTGAAAAAATATACATTAATATATATTTATAAAAAATAACCTAATATACAAGATAAAAATTAAAAAAAAAAACTAAAAAATAAATTTTGGTTTTTATTTTTTGAAAAAAGTTATGAGTATGAGAGTTATTCATATCCATTAAATATTTATGGGAATGAGAATGAAAATATATTTGAAACACCTATTGGCTATGGATAAAGGGATGGGTATAATATAAAAATCTAAGGATGGGAATGAAAAATACTCAATTCATCTCATACTGTACTCATTGACATCTCTAAATAATGCGTTTAATTAACGCAAAACACAAGTTTTTATTGGAAGGCTACTTTTATATATAGTTATAAATGTTTAATTGATTATTGATATTTTATGATTTTTTTCATAAAAAGTATTTCTTTTGTAATTTTTTCATAACATATTTTTTAATAAGAAATTAGCCCCTATAGGAGAACAATATATAGTAATAGATGTATATATTTATATGTATGCATGTTTGTATACGTTTAATTGATTACTGATTATTGATATTTTATATTTTTTGTAACTTATTTCATAAAATATTAATTATCAAAAGATATTTTATTAAATTTTTCATAATTTTCTTTGTATTTTTTATTACATATATTTATTTTTTAATAAAAAATTTATTAGTTAAATTAAAAAAAGAAAAGTAGTCCCTATGGGGCTAATTGCAAGGCAATTCCCTTAAAAGACTACTTTAATATATTAATATATATATATATATATATTGTTATAGATATAGGTTTTAAAATTTTTCATATAGCATTAATTAAACCAATTCTATTTAATTTTCATATACATATCATAGTAACATCTTTTTACAATAAAACATGTTGTAAATTAAATTGAGTTTGAATTTTGCATTAAGTTTTCAAGCAAATTTTTTATTTAAAGAAAGAAGAATTTGAACCCTAATCTTTGAATATATGAATCATGCATTAATTATTAATTGAATGCTTAAATGCAAGTATTAAGTATTAGAGTATAAATCTATATTGCTTTATATGTGATTCGAGTTTATACTTTGAGTTTGTGGGAGCTTTTTTCTGGAATGAGCTTATATTATTTCTATTGGACAGAGCTTATATTTATTCCAAATGGCTGCTCTGGTTGTTTTTAGTTATTATGCAAAATAATGAAACTCAATCTAGTCAACATGAAAAAATAAATAAATAAACTCTTTATATTTGATGTATTATTGATGTTTTAAATTTATAAATTATTAATAAATTTAATAATACAATCTCATTAATAAATAAACTTAAATTGTTACAAACCCTTAAAATAAATATATACAAATTTAATTTTTTAAAGCAAATTTTCATTAATAAAATGATATTATCTATTTTTTCGATGAAATATAAAATTTATATATCATTGATGCATTAAATATAAACTCATAACATAATAACTAAAAAATAATTATCTAATCTGATAATTTTGCATATTTATAGTTATTTAATCTCAATTCCATATTAACTCTCAATTACAAAAGGAAAAATCATCTGATGCGAAGTACAAATAACATACTAATTTTTATTGAGAATCAGATTTGAACACAGCGTTTTTAGTTTGTTGGGTTTTTGTGTAAATATAAATTGATTTAGATTTGACTTGTAAGATATGATATTGGACTTAAATGGAAAATTGGAAGAGTTGAAATTTATTGTTATCATATTAAGGTTTCATTTGAACGAACGAAAAAATTGATTA